ACCGGCCGGTGACGTGGGCTCCCACCGCCTGTGCTGTCCATCAACGCCCCAAAACGTCGCTTTTGGATGGATCAAGGCGACGGTGGAGCCGGTCAGCCTGCGCTATGTCCTGCCGTCCTTCTTGCATCCTTTTCCCTTTCCCGGGAGCTTGCTGCAGCAGACGCCGGCTTCTCCCTGCTCCCTCGGATGCACACCAGCACCGACCACCCCAAAGGTGTTACCTGCCTTGAGCTCGCCACCGGAGATCTCCAAACCTCGTGGTGGTCCAGCTCTGCTGCGACCCCGTGAAGCCCAAGCCATGAGCTGCAAAGGTCCCCAAATCACATTTTTTTTTTTTAACTGGGTGAGTCTTCTTCTCCCTGGCTGGAGGAAGCACGGGCATGCTGGCCCGGTGCTGTGCCCAAGCTGGTACCTGCAGCGTCCGTCGCCGGTGCTGGTGCCGCTGGAAGGTGTTGGCTGCGTGGGATGGACGTGCCCTGAGCCTCCCGAGCCACGTCGGATGTTGTGGAGGTGCAACCCAGCTCTGATCCAGACCTTCCGCAGGGCAAATATCCCTGCTAAGTGGAGATAAACCTCTATCTGCCAGCTCGGGGCTTGCTGGTGCTTCCCAGGGCTGCAGTGGCACCGGCCGCCGGGCACTTGGAGCATTTCTCGGGGATAAAGGCAGAGACAATGATGCTGTGACAGCCGGGCTGCAGGGAGAAACGAGCCACACCCTGAATCTCACCTCTGCCTTTTTGATTTTTTTCCCTCTTCTGTGGGGATCTGAGCTGAGCTCCTGAGTGGAAAATCATAGAATCATCGAATCGTTTAGGTTGGAAAAGCCCTTTAAGATCATCCAGTCCAACCATTAACCTACACTACCAAGCCCACACTAAACCAATCAAGGGTAGACCAGACTGAACCATGTCCCCAAGTGCCACCTCTGCCCGTTTTTTGAACCCCTCCAGGGATGGGGACTCCACCACCTCTCTGGGCAGCCTGTTCCAATGCTTGACCACCCTTTCCATGAAGAAATTTTTCCTAATATCCAACCTAAACCTCCCCTGGTGCAGTTTGAGCCCATTTCCTCTCATCCTATCGCTAACTACCTGAGAGAAGAGCCCAACACCCCCCTCCCTGCCCCCTCCTTTCAGGCAGTTGTAGAGAGCGATCAGGTCTCCCCTCAGCCTCCTCTTCTCCAGGCTGAACACCCCCAGCTCCCTCAGCTGCTCCCCACCAGCCCTGTGCTCCAGACCCTGGAAAATGTGTCTGGTGTTGATCTGCAGGCTGTGAACAAACTGGGAATGTCCCTCGGAGCAGAGGGATGGGTTTCAAGATGGGAAACAGGAAAGTAAAGGTGAGCAAGGAAAAGATCATCAGCCTGTCTACCGGATGGGTCATTTTGACTGTTCCACCCCAAATATGAACTAAAGGCGATGCCTGGCTCTACCCGGCCGCACTGGACCCCCTTTGACTTGGGATGCTTTTGCCTGCCAGGCACATTGGGATTGTTTCTATCAGGATCATAGAATCATGGAATGCTTTGGGTTGGAAGGGCCCTTCAGAGCCCACCCAGCCCAACCCCTGCAGTGCCAGGGACAGCTTTAACCAGCCCAGGGTGCTCAGAGCCCCGTCCAACCTGGCCTGGGATGTTCCCAGGGATGGGGCCTCCACCGCCTCTCTGGGCAACCTGTGCCAGTGCTTCACCACCCTCATTGTGAGGCATTTCTTCCTTATATCCAGCCTAAGTCTAGTCTTCTTTAGTCTAAAGACGTTTAGGATTGCAGCTGGCAGTGGGGACAGCTCCTTTAGGATCATCAGCCCCATTTCACAGGTGGGGAAACCGAGGCATGGAGTCCAATCAGCCAGGAAGAAAACCCAGTCCCCCAGCCACGCCGAGAGAGGAGGCGATGCCGCGGCGGAGCTGACCACGCTCTTCAAGCTCCTACTCACAGAGCGGGCTCAGCCGAATCGGCGTGCCGGTGCAAAGCACCCTGGGCAGGAGAGAGAAAGCTGTTGTTGGGATTTATTTTTTCCCAGGATCGGACCCTTTAACGGGCTCTTTTGCCTCCAGCCACTGGCTGCTGTTTGCTTTCTGGCCCCTGCGTGCTGGCAGCCTTTTCCCTGCCCGTAGGCAGCGCCTGGCAGAACAGCTAACGGAGCGGGGGGGTTGGAGACGGCACTGAGACAATGTGAACATATGCAAATCAGACAGCGTGACGTGTATCCTAAGGTGTTAATGAATTTATAGATGCATGAATAATTATTTGTGAAAAGCACGGCGAGCTGCGGAGGTCACAGATGGCTGGAGAATAACAAATGCAATAGAATTTGGGAGGGGGGCGGTGTGGAAGGAAGAGTCACGCCGGCACTCTGCAGCCAGAAACTCTCCGGCAAGGCAGAGGCGCCACGGGAAAGCGAGGAGCAAAGGTGGCATCCACGGTGCGGAGGGTGGATCTCCGCTCCCGAAGCTTGGCAGGAGCAGGTTGGGCCGTGCTGGATCTCAGGGGTTTGGCCAAGGGTGCAGGATGGGGAGCGAAAAGGCTGAGGCGAAGCAGCAAGGTGGGAGCAGTTTGCAAGCATGGCCTGCTTTTCATTAACATCTGCATTAACGAGCACGCCACGCGAGCTCCCAGCACGCTAATGACATTCGCAGTTGATACTAAACAGCAAGGCGTTATGAACATTGTTGAGGGCGAGGAGATCATTTCAAAGGATGCCGTCGAGGTTGAGCCCGGGCTGGAAAGAGCTCAAGAAGCTTAGGGAAGGCAAACGGAGAAGCAGAGGTGGGAATAATGGTGGTACGGGGAGGAGGGAGAGGAAGAAAGTCTTGGGGTGAGGGTAGGGAGCAAGCAAGGGGTGCTGTGCATTGCCCCCTGCTCCTGCTGCAGAGGTCTCCTCACCATCATTAGCAAGGATGATTTTTTTTTTTTTTAACTTAAGCCATCATTTCATTGGCAAACTCGGAGCCTCCCTGTCATGTTGCAGCCAAAAAGCGCTCGGCTTTGCCTACTCTGTTCGCACTTAAACAGCCCCTTTACACCGTGCTGTAACCGAACCCCCCCCTCTCAGAAGTCTTGCTAATAAGCTAAAACACGAGCTCTGTAGACCTCTCCCCGTAAGGCATTTTTTTTTTTTCCCCGACTATCAAATAAATGTTGTAATTTTTTTTTTCCTGCACCATTTCCATCCTGCCAGCATCCTTATTGAAATGTGCACAGCACAGCTCTGCACCGCTCCGGTACCGGCCACATCAAGGGCACGCGTTGATGTGAAATCACCTTCTGGCTCTGGCAAATAATCGAGGCAAAGCCCCATGATCACAGAATCATAGAATCATCGAGTCATTTAGGTTGGAGAAGACCTTTAGGATCATCCAGTCCAACCATTAACCCAACACTACCAATTCTACCACTAAACCAATTAAGGCGAGGGTCATCATTTCATGTTTCCTGGCTTGGTGGCTGGATTATTTTTAATGAAAGTAAAACTAGGAATCACTAAGGTTGGAAAGGCCCTCTAAGATCATCTGTCCAACCATCAACCCAACACCCCAATGCCCACTAAACCATGTCCCAAAGTGCCACATCTACACATTTTTTGTCTTGCAAGATCCTGTGCCTGGCCTCCCACAACCATCCTCTTCCTCATTTACTTGGCGGTGGTAAATGTTCCTCATACGTCTCCTCTGCTGAGGCTTCGTGCCTGCTTCCAGCCTGGTGGTTAAGGTCTTGAGCAGAATTTGGGCTGACCTTAGCCCCTCCTTTGGAAGCCAGATCTGGGCTTGGCGCTGTTGATCACTGTCTATACAGCTCGTGGTGCAGCATCCTATGGAGAGGAAGCTCCTCATCCCCCTTCGGCTCATGGAGCAGATCACTCCACACCCAAGTCCCAGCCTCTTCTGTCCTTCTACTGAGCAAAGCCTTGCAAATCCCGCCATGGATTTGCAGCCTCCTCGGGGCAAAACCCTACTGGGAATGAAGGGTCTTGCGCAGAAACCTCAGCAGTGCTGGGATAACATGCCAGATCTCCGTCTCCTCCTGCCTTCTCATTTTGAGGCTCCCTTGCTGTCCACGTGCACCATCAGACGTCCATTTTGCCCGCCCCATGATCCTCAACCTTGCCCTTCCACCGGCAATTCATCAAACACTGTTTGCAGGCCGGCCATACCGGTGCTTACAAGTGCTGCCCAAAAAACCAGAGCAGGAAAAAACCACCCAGCAGCCTAGAAAGCAACCTCCAGCCTCTTCAGTCCTTCCCCCTTTCCTATCTGCTCTTTCCTCTCACCTTTCATGGCCGCTCGCCTTTCTTTGCCATTCGTTCAGCTTCTATTTGTCACCTACGACACGACACCAGCAAGAACAAGCAAAGGCAAATGGGGGGCTGAGACGCGGCAAACAGCG